GCCCCTTCTCTTCCTCCCAAACCCTATCAGCCTTCCCTGGGAGCGGGTGGGACTGGCTGTAGGGAACAAATAATACCAGGGGCAGCTAACATTTAAGGACACTTAAGAGTGTGTTAGGCATGTAGCCGCTCATCTGACCCTCCCAACAACTTCTTGGGTTTTTTTGGAGGATGAGGGGGAGGGAAACAGATTTATTGAGATATAATGAACACATCAATCATTCAAACCATTCAAAGGCTCACTCTTTAGCTATTATCCCACAACCCGCTCACCCTACCCCCACAGTTCTGCATAACCACTCTAATCTACTTCCTGTCTCTCTAGAGAGATTGCTTATTCTGATTAGATTGCTTATTCTGGAGAGTTCATATAAATGGAGTCATGTCATAATCTGACAATCTTTTGTATAGGTATGTTTACTAAGCCCATTTCCCAGATGGAAATAATGAGGTGTGAGTAGGTGAAATCCTTACCCAGGGTCCCTGATGAAGCAAAGATGAGAGGGATTCAAACCCAGGTCCACCTAACCCCAGAGGCCCTGTTCTCTGTCATTACCTCACCAGTTAGTGAGTGTGGAGTAATGGAGCCATCTTCCCAGGACCCTACTTCCAACTTCCTCCATCACACCCAGAGGTTCTGCCAGGACTCCAGGTCCAGGGAGCCCACTCAGTTTTTGTGACCCCTGCTCAGTCCTCAGCTATGCCATCTCCTCTGGAAGCCCCCTGACTGCTCACCTGTCTTGGCACTTCCCCCACCTGAATGCATTTGCCCATGGCCAAATGGGCAGCCTGGTCCTTTCTGTGTAGTGGGAAACTTAAGCCCTTGGGAAGTGTCAGGGTCACTTGGTAATCCAGGCAGAGTGGGGCAAGGACCAGATCCCCAATTCCCACACCAGCACTCTCTTCCCTGGAGCATTTTAAATGGGTGCCCTTCTGGCTCCAGGGAAGGGGAACGAGCACTGAGCTGAGTTGGGCACCTGGATGAGTCCCATATCCAGGGGTTCCAGCACAGTTCCTGGGCCAGGATCCAAGATAGGCCCTTATCTCTTCCACTTTTTTTTTTTTTTGGTACTAGGGATTGAACTCAGCAGCACTTAATGACTGAGCTACATCCCCAGCCCTTTGTATTTTTTGAGGTGCTGAGGCTGGCTTTGAATTCATGATCCCCCTGTCTCAGCCTCCTGAGCTGCTGGGGTTACAGGTGTGTGCCATTGCACCCAGCTCATCTCTTCCACTCTTGCCCCCTCCTGAGAAGTAGTGCCATCAGCTCATGGGAAACAGGAGAACCGTGGCTCAACAAGGCTGGAGTTCTTCCCAAGGTCATGGACACTGAGTAGAGACTCATCTGCCGACTTCCAACTTGCCTCCCACCATTTACTGGGTCAGGAGCTCCAGTTTGAGGCTCTTGTGGCCCCTGGAGTTGCCCCTCTATCAGCTCTTATAAAACTGGCCTCGTACTTATTGGGGTTCTGGACAAGAGGAGTTAGAGGCCCATCTTCTTCAGGGCTATAGTCCCAGTACAGAGAAGGGCAGGACACAGGTCCCATTCTGTGGGTTGCACGATGACAGGAAGGGAAGAAGGGATAAATAAGGTCTGGAAGCCAGTTCTTCTGCCTAATAAATCAAGAATTCTTTTGATGTTTTGGGGTCTTATGCCCAAGGAGGATCACCCACACAATCCTGCAGTTTGGGGGGCTCCTGGTCCCTTGTAGCTCACCCACGTCCCTAGGAATTGGGTCCCCGATTACAGTCAAGACCCTGTCCCAGGCCACTCCTGGTGACACAGCACACCTCACAAGCCCGGAGCACATGGGCATTTCAGTCATCTCCTCTCAGCTGAGGCCACAGTAGGTGGCAGCCCCTGGCTCGCAGTGTGGCAGTCCTGGCACCATTCTTCCCCCGGTCCTCACAGGGCCACTGCCTCTCCCCACAAGCGGCTGCTGAACAAGGATGTGTGAGAATGCCTGGGAATGTCACCTGGGCTGAGCAGGGAGCTGCTCAAGTTTCAGGGGTAGGGGCTACTTGAGACCCAAATTGGGACCCTCCACTGTCCCAGGAGGACCCTGACTCTCCTCCCTCTCCCCAACACCATCTTGGTCCCAGGGGCTAGAGAGGAGGCAGGGTCCAAGGTTCAGGAACTTCCCCAGGGCCCAGAATAGTGGTGTAGACACAACAGGAGTCACATTTGTTTACCGAGAATTTTCCACGCCTCCAATTTTTTCTGCATGTTTTCTCACTGATTCCCAAATGAAGCCCCTACAATTAGCACTCCATTTTACAGAAGAAAAAACTGAGGCACAGAAAGGAGAGGTCGCCTGCTTAAGGAGCCCAGCTGGGAGGCAGGAGTGCTGGCATTCAGCTTTGGGTTAGCCTGGCCTCGGAGGGAAGCTCTAGATCCCGAGGGGAGTGAGCAATGCCCTCTAGAAGTCACTGCTGATGTTTGGAGGTGGCTGTACCTCTTCACACATGGGGTGTCAAGGATCTTCTGAGTGGAGGCAGATTTATACTCATTAGAAATTCTCAGGGCTGGAGATGTAGCTCAGTGGTAGAATACTTGTATAGCATAAGTTTGATGCTCAGCACCACAAAAGGAAGGAAGGAAGGAAAGAAGGAAGGAAAGAAGGAAGGAAGGAAGGAAGGAAGGAAGGAAGGAAGGAAGGAAGGAAGGAA